ATTCGAGTGAACCGCGACGAACATAATGGCGAAAAAATTTATGTTGTTTACAGGGGCAAATTGTTAAGGCTTCTTGCATTAAATAGGGCGCGGATTCCCAATAGAAGTTATCGCTCAAAAAACGACTAAGCCAGCAATTACCTAACTGTAAGTGCGCCCTATTTAATGCAAGAAGTCTAGTCAAGAAAATTCCGCATTTACATGTTTTCCTTTTAAAGTATAGGCCGGACATTGTCTTCATTTGTGAGACATGGTTTACCTCTAATTTCTCTGATTCCGAACTGCTTGCTGATTTACCTTACTTGGTTGGTTAGAAAGGATCGTAATGATAGGATGGGAGGTGGGGTCTGCATTCTTTTGCACAGGGCCGTCACTTTTGAAGCAATTGAGATTTTTGCGCCCAATTTACTTGCTGATGTGATTTGTATTGACGTTTCTTTTTTTGGTCAGAAAAGACGCTTCCTATTAGTGTACCGTCCACCCTCTTCGCCCACCTTTCAGGATGATCGCCTCCTATCGATACTATTTGAACTTTCAACGACTATTTCTACGGAAGTCACAGTAGTGGGAGACTTTAATTTGTCTATAGACTGGGAGCTACAAAGACCAGGCAATCCTACTGCGGGTAAATTTCTTGATTTTTCTTGACCTTGGGGCTTCAACAATTTGTCCAACGTCCTACAAGGCTGGACAATATTATCGATTTGGTCCTTTCCTCTGGTGACAGCGTATGTGACTTGACCATTCTACCTCCCCTAGCTGGTTCCGATCACAACATTATTTCGTTTGCTCTTAGAAGTCCTGTTAAATGTACTTCCAAAATTAGATTTCGGAATTTTAGAGCTTGCAACAAAATTGCTATTTCTCAGAGACTGCTTTCAATAAACTGGCTCGACCTTTTTAACGGCTATGATGACGTCAGTGATGTCTACAATCGCTTTTGTTGCGTGATTGAAAGAGTTATAGACGAATTCGTGCCCATAAGTGAGAAGAATGTTGACATGCCTACTTACCCACCCCACATACTGAACTTAATTGAACAAAAAACTAGGTTGTTTCGCACTCTCAATGATCCGATGAATACACCAGCTTACCTAGATATATGTAAGAAATTAGATAAGCATATTAAGCGTTACTTAGACAATAAGGTTAAACGCCTGAATGCCCAGAAGAAATTTTCGTGGGTTAGCTCTTTATGCTAGTAGGTTTTTAAAATGTTCCTCAATCAGTCCTATTCTATTGAATGAGGAAGGATTCAAATGCATTGAAAACTGTGACAAAGCGGAAGCCCTCGCTAATTACTTTTCTAGCGTCTTTAGAGATGATGGAAATATTAGCGATGTCGTCTGCAATTGGTTTCCAGATACTATGCCTGACTTTATCATAGAGCCTCACACTGTAGCCAAACACTTACGTGCTCTGAAACCATCTCTTTCCTCTACCTCGGACAAGATCCCCCAATATTTCTTCAAAAGCTTTGCGCTCGAGCTGAGTGTTCCACTAGCGCATATATTTAACATATCATTGATGTTAGGGCAAGTACCTGATCTATGGAAAACAGCTTTGGTGACACCTCTCCCTAAGATACCTAATGCAAAGAAAGTTTCGGATTACAGGCCTATCAGCATTCTTCCTGCCCCCGTCAAAGTGCTAGAGAAGATTATGAGAGAACACCTTCTCTCTTGGCTGACTGCCCACAAGCACGTACCTCCAGATCAGCACGGATTTGTATCAGGAGCCTCCACTTGCACACAATTAGTTCATTGCACCCATAAGTGGTGGTCTGCGTTGAATTCTGGTTGCAATGTGGACATAATTTATTTTGATTTTAGTAAAGCGTTTGATACTGTTAGCCACTCGAGGTTACTTCTTAAACTTGAAAGTATCGGGGTGAGGGGTAAATTGCTTGAATGGTTTAACTCCTATCTTGATCATCGCAGAATGATTGTCCGGGTCGGTGATTACTCATCGCGGTCTAGAAGGTGCATCTCAGGGGTACCGCAAGGTGGTATTCTCTCTCCTTTGCTGTTCCTCATATACACTAGCGATCTTTTGGGACACCTTAGGAACCCACCCCAGCATTGAAGTTGCTGCCTATGCGGATGACATTAAAGTGTTTGCGACTTACCCACCCCTTGAAAAACAGACCGTTCATACCGCGTTGTTGAAATCACTGGAAAATATGACAGCATGGGCAGGTTCATGGAATCTCAGCCTTAACTTGGCTAAGTCTCAAGTGCTTTCTCTTTCCTATTCGAGCGAGGAGCAAAAACTTTGTTTTCATGAAATGTCTAGCTGTGATTCTATTAAAGACCTTGGAGTGATGGTCACCAAAAACCTTAAATGGAAGCTACATATCGATAGCATTCACAAGAAAGCTTTGAAAGTTATCTATTGTCTGTTTCGTAACATTCATTGCACTGATTTCAAAGCCTGGATTAGGTTATATAAGACTTTTGTTCTGCCCATCTTGGAATATTGTTCTCCCGTATGGAGTCCCGTTTTCAAGAAAGATATAAATAAAATTGAGAGTATTCAAAGGATTTTCACTCGCATTCTTTTCTATCGTGTCTTCCCTGACCCAAATTATCCACTATCGCTACCCTCATACAAAGCTCGTCTCGATAAATTAAACTTGAAAACTTTATTTTGCAGAAGAGTTCAGGCTGATTTGATTCTGGCGTACAAAATCCTCAGAGGAGAGACTTGCTTGCGGGCCTCCAATTATTGGAAGTTCAGGCCCATACATGGCCGATGCGGTGGTTCTTTCAGTATTGCTCCCAAGATAGCTTGTCTCAGGAGATCTAGTGGCGAACATGACTTTTTTTGCAGGACGTCCAAGTGGTTGGATCGACTCCCCCTTGATCTTCTTTCCAGTACGACTTCGGCGCAGTTCAAGAGTGCTCTGACCAAGATGGATTTTATGCATATTATAGGCCTTGAAGATGTGCTTTAGCTGTCGACACGCAAGCTCGTGTCCTGTACAATGAATGCCCTGTCTTGTGCGTTTATATTGTCTCTGCCCCTTCTTACTGTCTCTTGATGTACCCCCTCAGGCTTACCAGCACAGAAGTGGCACTACAAAATCCTGGCATGAAGGATCAATACTAGAAACGGCCATATCCTCTGTTAGTGGCTGAGTATAAAAAAGTCTCCCTTCGACTTAAAGCACACCTGTGGTCTGGATGTATGCTCAACTAACTTGCCGTTTCCACGAGGGAAGTCGGTGTACCCGTGTTTCGGAGTCTCGGCAAGTTCCTATGACCCCGTAAGTGGCGACTGGGCATCTTAGCCGACAGATGCAGTGGGCGATACATCCGGGCTTGTGGTATGCGATGCCTCTGATACTTCATATATGATATGCGATGCTCCTGATGCTTCTTATATAATACAAATAACCTTGGTCCTTTAAGCACCTACACACGAAACAGCGAAGTGGCCCTTCTTGGCTAGCAAGCCTCTTAATCATCTTGCTTTTTCATTTGGGTTGTTAAGTTCAGTGTTGTCAGACCATTTGTTTCCTAAGTTATCTCTATTCAGTCATTAAGTTGTGTCGCTTTATTTTATGTTATTTTAGTACAATTTTTTTTTCCGTTCTTTTAGTACATTTTTTCGTTCCATTTCTTCTCTTAGTTAATATCGCTGTGTTTCTCTTACCGCGTTCGCTATCAGTTAACTGACTGTGGCGCGTCCATTGGGCGCAAAATAAATAACATTGATTGGAGCGGGCACTATCAGTTTCCGCATATTTTAAAAGTATACAGTTTACACTCGAACCACTTGCCTCCGCTCAAAATAAGCTGCCGGGCATTCCTAGCTATATGTTCTACTAAACCATCGAGTAACACCAGCAAATTGATCGTTCATTAACGTTAATTAGCCAAACAACTGGTGGCTACTAGAATCTTGAGAAATGATGATCTTACTCGAGTTCCAAGACATTCCAAATCCGGTCCTCATAAAATCCTCAACACAAGCGCTCCATTTGGTTTATAGGAGAACTATCTCATACATAGTCGAAAATACCTGCCCTTCCAAATTCCTTCCATAGGATTCGAGCAGGATTTTTGACCATCATCTCTTTTTTTCCAGAACAACTGTTTGGCCAAAATTATCCTCGCCAGCTGCGGTCATCTTGAGGCTCGCCGCCCCCCATCTCGAAGCAGGGCATTAGCACATACCTAGTTTCGTGTGCAGCCGCCAAGACACTGGCCTGTCAGGCGGCTGGGAATCGAAGGTGGGCGAAGATCCCACTTCAACCGTGATGGGACTACTGAATTCAAACTATTTTCCGGAAGCAAAATCTTAGTGCATAATCCACGCTCTGAGAGTAAAATTTCCAAATATGGTCCTGAGTTTCAGAAAAGAAGGAGCGTGGGGCATTAAGGATGAATAGGGCCTATAAAGTGAATAAAAAACTACAAATAACTCGCATTTTGAACTTTATTATGGGATTGCATAGCTCGTGGGTTTGATGGTGCACCCTCCCGACAGGATTCTACTAAAGAAGCATCCAAAATTTTGAAAGGAAAACCTGAATTGTCTCCTCTTTGCTCGATGGGCAGATCGTACCACCACAAACCGCAACGCAACTTAGCGCAAACAAGATAAGCAAATTTAGTTCACTAGTACGTGACACCCCGTCGGGTGTCACATGGTGAGGACTGTGCCCCACACATTTTCGGTATTAAGAAAGACAACACTTGAGAAGATTATTGCGAACTGGGCAACGGCCACCCTTGTAAGCTCGCTTCACCTCCTTCATTACTGACAGTACACTATAGACAGGCATAATTTTAGAAAGTTTGTAAATACCATCGAACGGCGCATAGAAAACCAAACAACGGTGACCGCACACGATTGTCGCCTAACAAAAAAGTGATGTAAGGATAGAATGTGTAAAAACTAAATAACAAAATATCTTACCAGAAGAATGTCGTCATGTCGCTTAAATGGAGCAATAACAGGTTCCCCAAGGAGGAAATTGGCTAGGAAGCGAATCCGCAAGCAGCTCAGCATGAGGACAACCAACATGATAATGGGGGTTTGCGAGAGAATAGACTTGCTGAAGAGGCAAGATCGTCGCGCACCTCACAGATCATCTAAATTCGGACCATAAGGAAACAAAAATTCAGCCTTCTTCAATAAACTGTTGACTAATTTTCGAGGCGAAACATTATAATACGTGTGACCGAAAAAAAAATAACTGAGCCATGCAAGCGTTCCAATTTCATTTTCTGCCAACCAGCATTTAAATGCATCTATTTTTATAAAAAGAATAAACTGAAACGTTCTAGAATTACAAAGAATTCTATAAGTTGCCGACATCTGCCGTGATCCATTTCTTCAATGATTCGATGATCCGGCGGAGGTGACTAACTACTAACTCTTAAAAGCGCACGATAATTTGGCACTCGTCTAAAATGCTAGGCTAGAGTCCGGCAGTGGAGAACATGCGAAGAAAACGAAGTGAAACGATCAAAAACCTGCGAAGAAAAGTCTTCATTTTAGATGACTCAGAAAGCGATTTTGGACCAAGTGGGTCCCGCGTAGGTGAGCTGAGCCATAATTGGCGTACGGTAGATATGGCTGCCACGTATGAACTCATATATCCTGGTGGCCCCGCTTCACATATGCAATCCTTCGATTCATATTTTAGCTTGCGGCAAATGAAACAGTGTAAGCACGGCTAGGTCACGCTCTGTTTATTTGTGAGCGGTGCGGGCGCGGTGGCGTCCGGCCTCTCTCCGCGCTATGCTGGCATCTTGATAGGGGCGCTTAATAAGGGTACTTCCCGGGAAGCTGCTATGCACGCGCCGGCCCAGCGGGCGCGAATCTTCGCTCCTGCCAGTCGTATCCTACTCGTGTTCGTGTCAACTGCCTTATGCAAATTTCCAAATCCAGTTCGATTCGCGAAGTCACCAAACTTTCCCTGATTCAGCTGCTCAGATGCTCCACTACGAATTCACAAACATAGGAGTTTATCGGATTGGGGATTTTGTAGTCGAGCTGTTAGCAGGCCCTTCAGGCCCTTCTTCGGAAAGCAGCTGACTTCAATCTCGAGGAAGTCGGTCGTAGTAATACGATGTTTAGAACGGAGTCAAATCTTACACGCTGCAATTTTTCGTCACCCTACATCAGGCTGGCGTGAAAAATCCAAATATTTTATTGTGAAGTCCCTATATGGTACTATAACTCAGCATTTAGCTAATAAGTCTTGATGTCCTCTTTACTTGATACTCGCTTCGTCAATATCTCATCAGGTGACGAGTCGCGATCGCACCTATCCGCCTCACACTGGAATCTGCTTACATATTTGCCTTAATAAGTCAGTTTACAGAGAATGGCAATGAACATGTGCATATCTCAGTGAACTTTCCCCACCCCCCCCCCTCTCGTGAATTCGACACCGTCTCATCATTTCACGACCTAATAAACCATCAAGTTTCGGAATGTGGAGCGTGATTCACTTGAAGACAAACTTCTATACGTTTGCACTGTCTCCGTTACACATCGCAGATGAAGAAAATCGTAAAGAGAAAACAGATGCGTTCTCAGCCGGAAGCATGGGAAAAACGGTGGCTGCACTGAATTATCCCCCACGTCGATGAAGTAAACTGCTCGCAACCAACTAAAGTGTATCTCTGTAAGATCTGGAAACCTCGCGACGATCACGACAAGCAGAAGCTCGTCAGGAAGAGGAAAAGTCGTACACTTTTGTCACGTCGCACCCGCTTCCTAGTAGTTATCAAGGACAAGAGGTTGTTCAAAGGAGAAGAGAAGTACAACTGCCCAAAAGACTCATTGCTTGCTAGAACGATTGTCAAAGCCGATGGGAATGGCCAAACGATAATCAAGTGGGAACGTTAGGCCGAAACCGTTATTTAATGCTCCCTTTAACTTCCTAGGGCATTAAATAACAGTGTCAGCTCAAAGGCATGAAACAAATCACGCAAAGGGGTTCTTGCAACCTTCTGTAGGCAGACACTGCGGTACGAAATCTGTCAATTGGCCAACAGCTCAATTCTTTGTCGAATAAAGCACTGGCCAGCAGATTCACAATGATTCCAAAAACATAGCGCTTACGGATGAAACACCGTTCAGTAACCCCGTTCAATCATTCAAAGGGATGAAGCTTCAGCTGCAGAGGACAGAAAACTCAGATCTGGTGCCATGCTCATTGAATCACCAAGTTCAAATTTTGTTAGATGACAAATTCACGAGATGTCAACTTTGCGGAGTTGTTATAATTTATTCTTGAGCATAAGCCTGCATTCCACGAAAGAGCCCAACTAAAGCTCAAAAAGAAGCCACTAAGACCTTGGAGCTGTGACTTGCGCAGCAGGTTGCCAAAGCGGACTACCTTATGCTAGTTCTGCTGCCACGACCCAAAATAAATCGGATATAGGAAGGCATTGTTTATGCGTTCTAGCTTGAGTTACTGCGTTTCGCGCGACATTATTCCCGTACCATATTTACGTTGAGTAAACCTCACCTTTCAGCAGAAATAAGAATAAAAATAAATTAGAAAAAAAAAATTAATAATTGACACTTACAAGGATATAGTGGGCTATATCAAAATATGGAAACATCTTCAACCGGTGCAGTTGTGCACCGGCATCCAGCAAAATTTCCTGATCCATTTGTAACCCCTCCGGCCACATTTTACCTGAAACAACGATTATCGTTTTTATGAAAGAAATGAGCGCCATAAGAATGAAAATTATGCACTATTCCGCTATTTCTAACGACACCCCAGAGGAATTTTATTCACTGAAAGTCTGCCCATAGATGTCTATTAGCGCTGACGCCACTTGGCGCCAACAGACGCCAATCTGGCGAAATCACCTCATTCGAAAAAGTCGATGAAATTTTGTATACGGCGATATTTGACATCCTGATCATCTTCCCTTGCCCCAGGCTCTACTTAGCAGAAAGTAGATGGTCAGAGCGCCTTACATTGGCGCCGGCACCAAGAATGAATGTTTGTAATAAGGATGTCAAACAATCCCCGTATACAACTTTTCATAGGTTATGGTAGAGAAGCGATGGCGCCAGCGCCAGAAAGGAGCGTGATATTCGTGATCAAGATGTCAAATAACCCCGTGATAAAAGTTGTCATCGGTTCTGGTGAGATGGACTGTGGCACCAAATTGGCATCAAATGGCGCCAACGCCAAAAATAATATCATATTAGTGATGAGAGCGATGACTAATCACTGCGAACAAATTTTAGCAAAAAATTTTTCTGAGTTTCTGGAGTAGTAGTAGTAGTATTAGTAGTAGTGGAACGGTGCCGAAAAGTGGTAATAGTGCTAAGCATCGTCGAGTAATAGTGCTAAGCATTGACGAGATAAGTAGGTATCCCCATGGAAAACTTTTCGTTGAAATTGCAACATTTCCAAAGGAAAAAAAACAGAAAGCTAGTGTCACCTTCCAAAACGTCGTCAACTGAAAACATTTTCTCGAACTAGATAGGAATCTGACGGGAGTGTGAAGGGTGAAGATGGAGTTAGAAGAGAGACGCGTACTTCCTGCTGTCAATGCGTTGAAATTGCATAAGTGGGGCGCTCAGATGAAGCTCACAATGCAGCGATGAATGGATTCGAGCCCAATGCAATGCCAGTCATTCTATCACCTCCTACTTATTCAAAAAACAATCAACAACTGACACTATTTTACCATCGCAGATTTTTTTCCATCTAGTGAAAATTGAAGGCGCAAATAAAAGCGCTATTTTTGTAAATTCCAGGAAATACTTCAGAGAAAATGAGAGATAAGCCCCATCGCTAATTTCTTCTCTACAAGGAGCAGACCAAGTGGTGAGTGAAATGGTAGGAAAAAATGAATAAAATCTTCTACTGGATAGATACAATTTTAAGAAGCAGAATCCTCGAAAGAGTGGTTCTTCCTTCACCAAAGTCTACTTGTTAGACGAACAGCAAAAAGAAGAGAATCGAGAAAAAGTGAAGATAGAGAACATGAATCAATCAAGAGCGCTCGAGACACTGCCAGAGCTTACAACCTACGCACATAACAGTTGCCAGCCGACTTGCAGGGGCAGATTCTCTTGGCACATACGCAGAGACGTTCACATTGATTGAGCTACTCCAAGAAGGTTTGACGACTGAAGAAAGTATATTTAGCTCCCCCCCCCCCGTTGAAAAAGCGGCCATTGAGCTCTGCAGGAGCTGCGTGAAATGCTTGGGATCTTTTCTTACAATATCGCAGTAAACGCTAGTACTTGTCACGGAACCCCTTTAAAACTAGAGATTTTATCATCAAATTATTCACGAAAGCGGGTGGTGTAGCGGTAAACAAGCACCCTCACCACCCCCTCGGTCGGAGAGTCTGATCCAGGATCAGCTTCCGCAAGGGCCAATCAAGCCTTCTTCTCCCGGGGATGGTAAATAAGCAGATTTGGAGGATAAGAACACTGACTTTCACATTGGCTGCATCTGCAAGTTTTCGTATATACCATATTGCATTCAGTAATACACTACGATTCTGAATGGATGACGAACACGCGCCGTATACCAAGAAGGGAGTGATCGACGGGAGAGACTTCAGTGCTTTCATTCGAAGGAATTCATGAAAAAGACCTGCCAGAGAAATCTATAGCCAAAAATTTAATAAACTCTGATAATAAGCAAATAATTTTAATTTAAATATATCAGTTCTCAATAAAGTAAGCAATCAGTATAAACAGCTCAAATTCAAAAGAATTAGTTTAGGTGAGTTACTGTCGACCGCTTCAGCAAATATGAGAGGCTCTATTAGATACCTTTCAAAGTTTCCTGGGAGGTTTTCGATGGTTTCGTTTCGACTGAGTCATTTTGGAAACATGCTCCAGTATTTTCCCAAGAACTTTGGGGAAAAAATAAAAAAGAATTGCAGAAAGGGAGAGCACCCAGCGCTAACAGAGAGTTCATCAACTGAAGAAATATTTAACCCTTCAATCAGCACTTTATAAAGGACAGACGAATGCGCTACACAATCAAAACTTGAAGGCTTGCTCACAGGAGCCTAAGGGTATCCAGTTATCCAAAGTTCAAGTGCATTGGAAGAGTAGACAGCGAGACGGACTCAAGCCTGCGAACAGAGCTCTGTGGTCCGCCGTAACTTGCAAACAGCGACTCACTCTTCAGCTAAATAAGGCTGACTTATCCCTCACAATCATGGTTCACAAATGATGGATATCAGTTTGGAGCGAGCTCCATATTTACCAGTGAATTTTTCAAAAAGATGATTATTACCGGTCAAAACTGCTGTCAGGGTACTTCGTGTGCTGGATTAAACATAGAGGTGGAGGGGAGATCGTATTGCTTCTGAGAAAAAAAGTTCATATGAAAATTGCTCGAGGCACTCGCTATCAAGTGGCTATCCCCGGAAATCAACATCAGGGATGAGCTTATGGAAGCAATGAGGCTAATATCGCAGCAGTAGAAAGTCCTAATATCGCAGCAGTAGAAAGTCCTAAGGAATGTCACGCACGTGCATTTAGAGTGACTTTTGCTTGCACAGGGCGGGCAAGGCGTTCAGCTATAATTGTGTTTCTGACAGCGACCGTACATATCGTATTATAATGACTAATACATTTATTGTGGACAGTTGGTCGTCCTGGTTAGTGCTTTAGTATGACTCAACATGTTAAGTATCGCTGTACTAGATATGCTGGGTTTGACTGTTCAAAAGGCAGTTGGCACGATGGTTTCCTACTTAGCCTAAAATGCTAGTAGGGCGCTGTATAGTGGGGAAATGGCGAAAGAACGGAGTGAAACGGTCAAAATCCTGCGAAGAAAAAGCCTCCGTTCTCAGTGACTTGTAAATCGATTTCGGACGAGTTTCCCGTAGGCATCTTGCCA